CTCTCTCTCTCTCTCTCTCTCTCTCTCTCTCTCTCTCATGTTTTGCTTTTCAAAGAGAAAGAACATTAAAGACATGGGATCTGATCGTTAGTACTGTAATATAATCTCTTATCAAGTATCAGGTCACATGTCTTTAATGTTCTTTTCCTTTGACAAGCAAAACATAACACATAATTTTTGAAGACAGACAGAACCAAAACAATCAGACAGCTGCACATGTGTTAAACTTAAATGGAGATGTAGGATAATATAACAGACCTTTCCTTGAGACAGTGCCTTTAACATCCCTGGCGAAATCCATAGCATGTGAATACAAAGGTGAAATAGTTTACTGATTGACCATGCCTTGGCTCCAATGGCTTGAAGGAAGGATGGACAGTATTCTTGCCAAATACATGAATAAAGGTAAAAGAAAAACAAAGAGGAAGATTAAGTTGGACTAAACTTAACTGCAGCTGCAGAAGACCAAACAGTAAAATGGATCACTAACACCCTGTGAATCCACAAGCAGTGGTAGCTCTTTGGAAGGAAGGAAGGAAGGAAGGAAGGAAGGAAGGAAGGAGTCAAAGATACAGCCAATCTGGCTTTGCTTGGAAGGGCTTCCAGAGCAGCTAGAAGATGTCCTCTTGACATCTCCACCAAACATGTTTCTTAATAGTGGATGGGAAACTGGGACAGGATTTCAAAACCCAGGCAAGTTCCACATGAAGGAATACATATTTCAAGCAGCCATACACGTGCATTTTAACAGCCTCTCCAGTCATAATTTAAGGAACATCTCCCCACCCCCACCCCCGGCAACATTCTTTAAAAATGAAAAAATGCAACCCAGACATTTTAGGCAAATCAATTCCAGAAGAAGCATGAAGACAGGTAGAAGGCACCTCTGATGGCAAATTGTGTAATGCTCAGTTTTGCTTCAATCGGTTTGAGGATGGGGAACTCGTATTGCAAAGAATGAAAAAGGACCAGAGAAAAGCACCAGAGGCAGCTCTGTGTGAATGTAGGGTTTAATTGTGTAGAGGTTCTAGATATATCATAAGCCAGCATCCCTATGTGCTTTTGGGCCTGTCTGCTGTTCAGAACCTAAAGTGTTCAGCTCAAAGCTGCAAACAGGGCTCGGAAATTCGATTTGGCCTAATGCATTTAAAAGTCCTTGGCTTTCTCCTGTATGGACTCTTCAGCTAGAAGGAGATGCCGTAGCCATGGAGAAAGCTTGGAAGGGCATAACCACGATGGTCTTGGGGCTGGAGCAACTTTCCTAGGAAGAATAATCTGAATTTTTATTCTCTGTTTTTTAAAAAATACCCCTTTAAATATTTTTACAAGACACAGAATCCCTTTGCCTTCCTGTTTGTCCAGGAAGGAGTTAAAACGTTCTTTTACTGAGAGTCGGGTAATTGGGTCCTGACTGACAGAGTTAAAAGTTCAGATTGCCCTAGACCTGGAAATGATCTCCTCTTTGAAGTGCTAGGAGCCTGGTTTCAGAAATCTTGATGAAATAATTACTGAAAGCACTCAGAGCCGAGATAGACACAACTGCTCTGTGCCTCTGAAATGCAGAAATACTTTGAATATGCCTTACGAAACTGTGTGCTAATTCCTTGGAGATACATAGCAAAATGTCTCCTTCTGGAGTACTGTCACTCCATTACTTTCTTTGAAGCAAGCTTGGTGTTTTTTGACTATTCAAAGAAAAGCTGTCTTTCGACTGTTTCTGTGACCTTTCATTGCCTTCCAAATATTTTCCCTCCCTGGCTCACAAAGCTGCAACAATGCAACTACTTTGGATGGCTCTTGCTGATAAGCCTGTTCCGCACATACTCAGTCTTACAACAAAGTGGTTATTTTCTCCCTTTTGAAAGGTCTTTTTTGAGGATCAACATTTCGGCCCCTGCAGCCTGGATTGTTTCCAAATTTAAAAAAAAAGTGGGTGAGACCAACCATTCTCTTTCAAGACAGGCAAGACTAGTCTTTTTCAATTCATAGGAGCTATTTTAAATCTGGGGACATTTTGAGTCGCTTGTCTTTGATGGTGGTGACCACTGTTGTTGATTCTGCAGTGGATAATTTAGGTTCATCACCCAGAGTTATGATGTTTGCTTCAGCCTTACCTTCAAAGCGCACAGTCTTGCTGTGTTGCTTTTTCTATCTAAGTGGAAAACAGAGCAAGGAGGGAGCTTTGGGTATTTTCCACGAGGAGGTGTGAGCAGAATAACAAGCCTCTTCAAGAAGGCACTGTAGGGAGCAGTTCCCTACCAGGTCAGGTATTCCAACATTTCTTGGTGTGCACATTTCTACTGCAACCTCTTCGTCTTCACAGAACAAGAAAACAACCCACACAAACTCCAGACTCTACAGGGCACTAATCAAATTAAATAACACACGGACAAGCTGTTTGTACTGGAGGGGGGGGTTGGGAAAAAAGGGGTGGAGAGGGGAAATAACCTCCCTGCTAACTCAGGCCTGGCCTCCTGGCCAAAAGTAATTAGAATTACTGGCCAACCAACAACCGAAGCTTTCATTCCTTCTCTAGCTAGTAAACAAAGGCAACAGTGTGGCAGAGTCTTGGAGTCTCCCCAGAGGCAGCTAAAGGGAACGGGCTCCCGGCAGACATTTGCCGATGAACCCCATCCCAAAATACACATACATACATACACACACACATCTTCATTAGAAATGCTTTCTATGTCAGATCTGCCCAGTGCCATTCAGATGGTTTATAGGGTGGGTTAGTGTTACTTTTAGCCGGGGGGGAAAGAGTTTTTAAACAACAGCATGAAAAAGAAATGGGGGGGGGAGAGAGCCAAATCCTGACTTGGCTCCAATCTCCCAAATACAAAGCCTGGTCCGTAGAAGAAGAAAGCAGGACGAGATTGGAAAACAGATGATTTTTTTTTAGGTGATTAGCTTCTCTCATGGAGCTTGCCTTCCTGCAGCAACGGTGTGACTTAAGGTTGCCCTCTCTTGGCTCAACGGCCTCGGGGAAACACTGGGCTAAGAAGCACTGAGGTTGAATGCCTTGAGTGTGTAGAGTCGGCTGCTAATAAGAGAAAGCAATACACTAATTAAAACTTGGGACCTGCAACAAAATGTTGCAGCATGTACAGCGCTGCAGCATGCAGTGTACCAGTGGGTGATGATTTCAGCCACTCTGTTTCCATAGCTGATTGCTCCCAAGCTTTCCCTTCCCTCAACAGCCAAAGAGTACACAGCCCCAGTCCTAGTGGTCTGTCTTAATCCCCAGTCCATAGGGATTTGTTTCCTCCAAAGAGACCTCCTGCCATATCTGAAAACCCTGGAGTGGCCCTGGGCTTGCTCAATTGCCACTTTAATATATGGGTGGCTGCTTATGAAACTGCACTTGGAGTATAAACGCGAATCTATTGCAAAGTTTTGAATTTCTTGTCAAATTCCTTTTTAAATACAGTGGTGCCCCGCATAGCGACGTTAATCCGTTCCGGATTAATCGTCGCTATCCAGAATCGTCGCTAAACAGAACTAAAAACCCCATAAGAATGCATTAAACTTGATTTAATGCATTCCTATGGGGTGACAACTCACCGTTCAGCAAAGATCCTCCATAGCGCCGCCATTTTCGCCGCCTCAGTAAGAGAGGGCAGCGCGCGAAAACGCTTGCGGTGGCCATTTTGGGCACCCGGTGGCCATTTTGGAACCGCCGATCAGCTGTTCTAAAAACATCGCAATGCGAAGATCGGTAAGCCAAACGCTTACCGATCATCGCAATGCGATGTTTTCCCCATTCAAAACATCGCACTGCGATCGCATTAGCGATCGCAAAAAATAGATCGCTATGCGGAGTCATCGTTAAATGGTGCGCTCGTTATGCGAGGCACCACTGTACACAATAGAAGTGCAAAGATCCACAGAGGAGGATAACTACAAGTTCCCCAGAGTCAGCTCCTTCCTCATTAACTGGCAGTTAAAGTCTCAATAACTCACTCTGGGACATTTGTAGAAGCAAGAATAAAACAAACATGTTTTTACTTACAGATGTTTGAAAATTACAGACTTGTATATGCTGCTTTCTTTGCTGCACTCATATTAGTAACCAGCTGAACAGATCAACAGCAAACAAACAACTGCCACCAACAGACAAAAGGAAGGGGGGAATTCAAAGGCTAGAAGGAACAATTGGTTGGTAATAAGACAATCACCCCAGCCCCAAAACATCCACCTCCGTCACATAAATTACAGACAGCCTGTGAAGTTGCAAATAAAACTCCAACAGAATCTTCCGCTCATTCGTAGGTTCACAGCGCTCATTAGAGCTGCTTGATCTCCACAATAACTGCACGTTAGGTTAGAAAGCTGATAAACAAACAATAAACAACATTATAAATTTTATAAATAAGTAATAAGCAGAATAAGAATACCTGGTCATTACATTATCTGGAGGCAAAGCATGGATTTTATTGTCATGTGTACAGAGACCTCTACAGAAGTAATTCAAAATAAAGAAGTGGCTGCTTTAAAAATGCAAAAAAAAAAAAAATTTCAGCATTAAAGAGAAAATTAAACCTTTAGGGGG